GTGGACAACTTGCAAGAACTTGATAGCTAAAATGCAAGCTGTTCCATATCCTTCACTCCATTTTGATTGGTGTTGCTATCCTCTTCCTCTTGAGGGCAAGAGATTTGTTTTGTGGCACTTTATGGATAGACAGGTTTACTGTTTTCCCCATACGGTCACATATTGTTTCCGTGGATCTTTCTGCTGGATCTGGCGGATATTGTTCCTGTGGATCTTTCTGGCAGCAGGAGAAAATCAGACTAGATATGTATGTTAAAAGCCTAATTTAGGCTGCAATTATTCTACATCTTGACCAAAGTACAATTTTTATTTTCTCAATTTTAGCCAATATAGGCAACTGACTATTTTCCCTAATACTCTATGGGATAAGATAATATTCAGTTGAGGTCTAAAACAATCCTGTTTTCTCTGGTGCCTCCAAAGTAATTGGTACATAAACTTCAGGTGCACCTGAAGAGCTGTGTTTATATACCCTGTTTACAAGTTACTGCTCTTATACTGGAAGCCACAAAAGAATATGACTTCAGCAAATTGACATCAGCTCAGATCCCATTCAGCTTAATTACACAAAGATGCCTTTATGCATTTGTACAGTACTTAAAGGTAGGATTTTCAAAAAAGTGTCCAACATGGGTCTAATTCTGCTCTTGCTGAAGGCCACAGGCATTTTATCAACAACTTCACTGGGGGCAGAATCAGGTCACATACTTCCCTCGCATAACCTTGAAGAACTGCTATCAACCCATCATATTTTTTCATACTTTTTATTTGGGCTCACTAGTATATTACTTTAAACAAAGTTTGTACTTTTATGCCTTATTTCATTCTATTAAGGTTAATACAAGTTGCTTGAGAAACACTTAAATAATAGCTTAAGTAGAAATATATATCTCTTGCATGCATCTTTTTTTTTCTTTTTTCAACTTTCTTGAGATTAAAATGTTTCTCAATATTTTTTTCCAGACATTCGGGACAGTGGGGGACCTAAACCAGTGATGGTGTATATTCATGGAGGATCCTACATGGAAGGCACTGGAAATTTATATGATGGTAGTGTTCTGGCAAGTTATGGCAATGTGATAGTCATCACAGTCAACTATCGCTTGGGGGTACTTGGTAAGAAGCTTTCAGATTTAAATTGATCCCTTTTATCTGCAATGCACTTCATATTATTCATGAGATAATGCTCAGAAAACTGCTTATTTTCTTTGGTTTATAAAGCCTCCTTCCAAAATGAAAGGTTTGTATTCTGTGGATTCAGTGTAAAATTGTCACCACTATTATGTAGAAAAACTTAAAATTTATGCTTCATATTTAATCATAGAAATACACCATGCAGATGTTCAGATCAGCCAATCTTGTGCTGCTTCCAACTGTTTTTACAAATATAACAATGATTAGACTTGTGTATGCGATGGACAAAAGGGAATGGAAATCATGTTAAAGTGCTAATTCAGAGACAGGGAATTTTTTATTGTGAAGGAATAATTTGTTGATCACTGGTTTTCTGTCCTTTGATGGAACAAGAGCATTTGGTATAAATTTGAAGTTTTTAACACTCAACTGTGCCTTTGTTGATGTATTTTGGATTCCTTTGTGGTTTACAACATGAAGTGTCAGTCCAATTCATATACATTCAATACTTTCTAGATGGGCTAAACAAATTGAAATACAAAATATTCTTTCTGATTGCTTTCGATTAGTTGATTTATAGACGGTAACATGGTTGGTTTAAATAAAATAGAATTGTGTGGCATTGCCCAACTAGCTATTTCCAATTGGTTGGTCTTTCTCAAAAGCAACAGTTTGCTCTTTGTTTGGTATGGACAAGCTTATGACAGATCAGCCCGGTCTCCAGAGAATAGGATAATTGTTGTTTTCAGCTCTGTACTCTGCCAAACTGTTTATAGACTGAAACCTTTGATAACAGGAATTGAATTCTAGGATATGGTGTAAGTTGATATTGCAATATAGTGTATCAGAGCATTTTATGAGAGAGTCATGATGGCACTATATATAATATCCAAAATGGCTTGATAAGCTGGCAGCAGTTCACAGACTGCAGGGTTAGTTCAGAAGGCCAGTGAATGTTATTCTTGATGTATTTGTAACAGGAAGAGGTTACTGAGCTTATTGTACATGTTGTTTTGGTTCTTCTTTCCACGGTCACATATTTCCTCAGTCCCCACTTTGTGTTTAGGACTCGCCTAGTCTTTTCTGGAATTCATTAATTCTTACTGGCTCTTCTGGGTAACTTCCATGTGTCGATTTACCCTTTTTTGTTAAAAACTGGGGAATTGAAGAGAATTAATTTGACTTGCTCACTGTTCTTTCTTCTCTTTGCTTCTGAATCTAATCTAAGTTTGGTATAACTTCAGTTGTTTTACATAGCACCCACCAATATTCATATATATGGTGATGGCTATTACTGAATAACTATCTGTATAGTATTCTCCTCTCATTCATGTTGTTATCTTTTACAGTGTGACCTGGTAATTTTGAGGGTTTTCCCTGATCTGAAGACTTTGGGCACATGTTGATACTAAAAATTGTAATTTAGCTTTCTAATCAATAGTCTATATTACCTTAGTCTTGAATTAGCATGTTTTTAATGTTTATTTGGTCCTGTTGTCTCTGACATTATCAGTTTACATTTATCTATCCTAGACTAGGCTCTCAAATGGTGCAGTGTTTCCAATTTGATTGCATTAGTTCTTGTTTTGCTAGTTCCTAAGTACATATGTAACCATCGTGCTGGAAATTTTGATTTAAGTACCAAAGATGAACTTGGCTTCATAGAAAGTAAAATATTATCTTTGGATATCATCACGGATTCTTACTAAGCAATGTCTTACTAAGGGGCCTTGTTTCTTGTTGCCCTTTTAGCTGCTTAAATGGTGATTGGCTTTAGCGCTAGCTCAGTTTGGAGCTGTTGCACATTAAGGCTGAAAACCTTTTCTGACTGTCCCCCACCTGCACATCTGTGGCTTGCTACTATGGCTTGCTAGTGGCAAGCAAGAGCATGACTGAAAACTACAGCTGGGAGTTGCCTCTAGAAAGCTGGTGAGCCAGGACAGGCTTCTATCCCTGCTGCAGGTGGGTGTGAGAGATTGGGTTGGGGGGGTTGGGCATATGAAGCTGGGAGGCGGAGAGTTAATAGGATGGTGGTAGGTATGAAATGGGAAGTGGAAAAGAAATGGGAATGGGGGACAGGTGGTGAAATGAAGGAAGTCAGCCACTGAAGAATAAAATAAAAAGTAGTAAAAAAAAAAAAAAAAAAAAAGAAAAAAAAAAAAAAAAAAAAAAAAAAAAAAAAAGGAATTAAAAAAAATAGAGACAGTAAATTAAAAATGGTCTTATGCTTTAATAACTTGGGATTGAGGTGTGGGGGATGCTGGTTGTGCTTCCTGGAAGCAGTGAGAGAAGGCACTTTCGGAGGAACTACTGCCTGCCTTAGAAAGGAAGCCCCGGCTCATGGGGACCTGATTTGGTGCCCCTACCTTGGCTCTGCCCCGCTTCCAGACCCAACCATGCCCTGAAACCTGGCTAGCTGGCATGTGCTTTGCAGGCTGTTTGGACAGGGTTGCGCCCCTGGGGGTAGAAAGGTCATACTTCTGGGGGGTGGGAGGTTTTGCCTTGGTGCCAGAACTTCCTGCCAGGCATCAGAGTTCAGTGGGTAGAAAGTTTGTCCATGCAGAAGAGGAGGGTGGGTGAGGGGACACTGCATCCTGGGATACTGGAGGACTGCAACTTGGACTCCCCTCATCTGTGGAGAGTGGCTACGTGCTAACAGAACACGAGCAGGGTAACACGGATCAGAGAGAAACCTGCCAGTAAAGCTGCGTGGAGTGTGTTTATAGCTAGTTTCAGGTGTTAATGTGTAGATAGCCCAGGGGTTAAGAGCTCCAGGAGCTGCCTAAAATTAATGTGTAACAAGGCCCTAAGATTGGAAATATTCCAGCTGTGTTCATTCCTTAGTTCTCCTTTTAGTTTGCATAGTGTTTGACACAGCAGCTAGGGAATGAGAACCGTTTTTCTTTTTGATTGGGACCTGTGATTTTAAAATCACTAAAACAGAACCAAAGTCAGTTACTGCTGTAATATTTTGAACTACTTTCAAGTCACCTTTTAAAAAATTGACCAGATTTCAAGCTGACAGTTTTCCCTTAATATAATAAATCACCGTTAAATTGCAGATAAAATGACTGTTCACATACTCTGTATCTGGAATGATCTCTCTCTCGCTCGCTCATCATCATATCCTATTAAAATAAATTATGCCAACATTTAGAATCATAGAAAATTAAAGTTCAAAGGGACCTCAGCAGGTCATTTAGTCCAATCTCCTACTCAAAGCAGAACCATCCCCAACTAGATTATCTCTGCTAAGGATTTACCTACTTGGGTCTTAAACACCTCCAAGGATGGAGAGTCCACCACCACTCTAGGCAACCCGTTCCAGTGCTTCACCACCCTCCTAGTGAGAAAGGTTGGCTATAAGAGAAAACTTAAACTCCCCTTGCTGCAGCTTGAGACCATTACTTTTTGTTCTCTCATCTGCCACCGCTGCAAACAGTCTAGCTCCATCCTCTTTGTAGCCCTGCTTCAGGTAGTTAAAGACTGCTATTAAATCCCCCCTCGGTCTTCTCCTCTGTATCACTCTTCTATTTCACTATATATCCACTACAGCAACAAAGCAGAGATTAAAAAGAACTTCTGCAATATTCAGTTTTATGCTCTGCCTTGCATCATTAAACTTTGCTTTCCTTAAGATGATCTTTGCTGATACTAGCAGGCAATAGGTATAAAAAAGCTTAATGTAGGTGTTTTGATGTAAATGTGGGAAATGCCAACTTTTACTGATTTCATTTAAAAATATTACTTAGCAATAAAGAGCTTTCCAAAAAATGTTAATGGTGGCAGTCACCATTAATAAATATATTAATGGTTTGGACATATAAAATGGCCTATTTTCAAGGCCTATTTTCCAAGTCAAACAGTACCCTCATTGCAACCCTGAGAGAAGATTTAGGGGCATAGTATCTCTCACTTGATATCATCTTTGCATGCCATGGCTTATTTACTTGACACTTGTGCTGGAGATTGGAGATGCACTGTAGAGGTGAAATCTCTTCATCTAGTAAGAGTCAATGGGATTTTTGCCATTGACTTCAGCAGAGCCAGGATTGCATTCCTCCTTGCGTTATCTTGGACCAGTTATAAAATGCTTTAAAATACGTTAGTAAACATATTAAGCAAAGCCAATAGTTATGGATGTGTGCAGAAAAGGGGAGGGAGAGAAGGTATTGGGGCAGAATTGGATGTCCTGGCAAGCTTATATATAATACATAGTCGGTGTGTCTACACATGCCCCGGACAGCACAGTTGTTACTGTGCTGCCATTTAGTACTTGCTTCAGGAAGTACTAAATGATGGTGCAGTAACAACTGTTACTGTGCCATTCCGGTGGTGCATGGTTATTTTTAGCACCTGTGTTGCTGTAGCGACACATTATAGTGAGATCGCTATGTCGCCATAGCAATAAGCTTCGCCATCACGGTTTGTGCGTGCTGACGCTATGCCGTCGTAGCAGTGAGCTACGTCACCATGGTGCATCGCTACAGCGACAAAGCATCATGTATAGGCGCTCCCAGTACATTTTAGAGGTAGTTTTTTTTTTTTTTCCAAACTGAGATGTCACCTGAGGAAGTAGCCAGGGTTACAGGGACAGCAAAAGAGTTATAATACCCTCCTCATTTTTTTTTAGTTTTGAGACTGAAGTATCCACCAATACGAGGGTGCCTTTAGAAGCCTTTACCTATACACCTGCTACTGATCCTCTTTCTGTGTTCAAATAGTCTTTTCTCTCTCAAAAATAGAAAATGTAAGCTTTTTTTAGCTTATTACTTAGCCAGTACTTTCGGTCAAGTCAAACACTTTTGAATTATTGCTTTTTGCAAAATAATCACAGAGATAATTAACACCTATAATTACTGCTCCTTCTAGTTTAAATCTTATTTCTTATTCCTGAATACTTGGCTTAAGCTTCAAACTCCAATCTGTTTGTGATTTTTTTTTTTTTTTTTTCTTTTTTTTTTTTTTTTTTTTTTTTTTTT